AAGTTCATTGGATTTGGTTTTGGACAGATTACAACGAGAACCAATCAACTGGATTTGTGAACAATTATCCAGAAACGTATCAACAATTCAAAAATATTTCTCATTGAAGAATCAATATTTCTTTCCTCTCAAAGAGAAACACTCTTCTGTCTGTGTCTGTGGGAAAAGGGTAGTTATTCTGCCTGAAATGCTCCAGATGTTGTAAAGTGAAGGCACTTCTAATGACCTCACCCCAATGTCTTACTTTAGTTCCTGCGATCTAGCTTGTCATGTATGTTTGGGATTTTAGGAAATGATGTGGATTCTCCATGATGCTCATTGTCACCCTGACCCTATAATCTTTATCAAAATGCTAATACTAACCAGTTTAAGTACATGTTTTAATCAAATGTTGCTCAAATTTTCAGAAAATTCCACAAATCAAACAAGAGGAAAAATAACACTGAAACACACCTTTAACTTGTGTGCAAGGTGCAGGAATGCGAGGAACCACTCAAGGCAATGATGTGCTGTGGACAGGGCTGGGTATCAAACCTCAATACGTTTTGGGTACCAAACATGTGTCAACGACACAAAGTATTGAAAACTGTCATGTTCTGGAAGCTGGTGTTACAGTTTTTCCAACTGCATCGGTCAAAACTGAAGTCACATTGTCAAAATTCTTCACACAGCCAGCGAAACAGAAGTGTATGTGGACCAAACTGTGAATCATTTTTCATTGCTTTCACACAAAATGCATTCAATGACCACTTTCTCCAAAATCTATGAACTCTTTTCTCATTACTACTTCACCACCTTCAAAACACTGTACTGGACATCTGCAGCACATTTTTCAAATGCGAACACACTGTGTCCAAAGATGGCAAATTTCCTGCATTTTTGCAGTAGCTGGACAGATATAATTAGAAAGTCTTAGCAGAACATTTACGTACATTTTATGTTTACATCTATGCACATAGAGAAATGTGTGTAGTGTTTTGAATGTGGTTTAATTGTAAAACTGCAAACTGTGTAAAGCAAGAAATGTGCTTATATTTTAGCAGAATTGGTTCAAGGGGTTGGGACATGAATTACAGGTTGTGCTTACTGTGTCTCAGTTACCTGTTTTACTGTGTAAAGAACTGAGAAAAACTGTGTTGCAGCACTGAAATTTTAGGAACTTTTTTTCACAAGTAAATTACTGACTACAGTGATATAGAAAAAATAAAGGATACTGAAGGAAATGTCTGATTCTTTCTTGTTACATATACTATAGTACAGCCAATAAAGTGAAAATATGTTATTCTTACTGTTTCTCTTAGTCGCTTTGGTACATTTCTAGAATCATCCTTAACATTTGCAAAACTATTTGTATTGGTAAACTACAGCTAAGGTTTGGATGACAATGACTTTTTCTGCATGGCATAGATCAATTTCAACAGTGAAAAGTTATACATTGCAAGGGTTTGGATTGGGACAGGATTCACAGTTACACTTACTGAATGCTCTGTATTTGTATAGCGCCTTTCTAGTCTTTTTGACCACTCAAAGCGCTTTTATACTACATCTGCATTCACCAGTCACACACATTTTCTTGTACATTTACAAGAAAACATACTTATTCAACAGAGAACCAGAATACTGTAATACATTCTGATCAACATGACTTACAGTAAGCAATTGATAATGTAGGAAACAGCAGACAATTGTACATAATCATTTTTGCATAATTGTATAATGTTATTACCATTAATTATGTTAATAAGTGCATGTGACCCACCAGGCTGTTCCTGCTGTGACAGGTCCAAATGGCTGCAGGGGAAAAAAGCATTTGCATATACAGTATCTAATCAGTCGCACATGTGACACTTTGACATTAGCGCTTTATAAAGCAACACAACATTCATTCATTCATGTTTCACCGATACTCAGGTACAAAGCTTCTCCACCTTTCAGTCGCTGTAACTAACGTGACCCACATAATATACACCACTGCAACAAAATGGCGTCAACAACACAGTAGATGAACCAATCACTACAGTAAAGCTACTTACTGCAGTCCAACTGTTATAAAGTGTGACAACAATCTCGTTATAATATTCAGTCCAGCTCACTAACCGTTACATGCTGTGCTGACATTGCTGAGCCTCCGGTGAAAGATACACAGATAGTAAAGTTAGTTACTGAAAAGCAGACAGATGAGCTAACACCGATGTAGCACGTCGGCTAAATGCAGTAAATGTAATGTTATCATGTAACGAGCATGGATTAGTTCAACCTCAAGCTGATAAAAATATTACTGTGTAACGTTGCAGTGGGAGTTTACCTGAGGTTCCAGCATGTTGTGTGAAGCTGTCTCCCTGTCTGTCTATAGCCGCTCTCACTCTACCTTTTTTCAGAGAGTCTTGTGCCAATATGCTGCGCTGAATGAAAGGTGCGGAGCCGGTGTTGATCTCCCTCTGAGCCGGGAACGTTGAACTGACAGAACCTGCACATGTCTGGAGAAAAGCCACAGCCGGCATGCCGGTGTTTCCGTGCTTATTGTGGGATCTCTGTATGTAACTGTAAATGCTCCGTACTTGTATAGCGCCTTTCTAGTCTTTTCGACCACTCAAAGCGCTTTTACACTACATCTGCATTCACCAGTCACACACATTCATACACTGAGCCTAAGTGCTGTATGAAATCGGTTGTGTTGCGGATTGTGCACGCTCATGAGTTCAAGCCCATGTACGTGTACATGCCTGGTTGCAATCTGAAAACTACATATTGCCCCTTTAAGATACAGTTCAGTTTAGTTCTCACCCTCATACCACTGCTTTTGTCACCCCCTCTGTTGCTGTGACCCTGTGGCGCAGTATTTCTATATAGGCATCACAACTGCTCTGTTTGAAAAAACTAGCTACTACCAAACTGGAAATTTTAGCACTAAGATGTAACAAGACAAGTACAGAGACAAGTCCTTTGTCTGATGCAAACAGAAGATCATTTGTCATTTTCACCAGCGCTGTCTCTGTGCTATGATGCGCTCTAAATCCTGACTGGAAATTCTCATATAAACTAGTGTTATGTAGAAAGTCAAAAAACTGATTGGCGACTGCATTCTCAAGGATCTAAGAGATGATTATTCACATTAAACATGCTTTAAGTCCAAATCAGTGATGGATGATAATGAATCTAGCTTGGATCAGCCCATGTGGAAGTCCAAAGCAGGACAGTCTGACTCTTCTACAGACCTTTTGATGATCTGATGGAAGTCAGTGTAGGTTTGTATGACCACATAGGTTGCAACATCCGCTTCTCGCAAAAGGGCAGTTTTGTGTCCCAAATTATTTTTTCAGTCCACAAACAGCTCAGACCAGCTCTGACTCAAACAGCATCATCGACATTACAAGGCGGCCATACTTGTTAAATGTCAGCAGGTCAACCCACAGCAGTCTGCTCTGTGAGGATCATTTCATCAGCTGGACTGCAGAGTCTGTAACCAAGTAAACACGTCTTCACAAACAGCCCTGTAACATTTCAGAAAGTACAAGGGTTTCATACCTCCAGTGCAATGTAATTGCATTCTTAATAAGATATCACTTTACAGTGAAAAGCATGTCTGCAAGTGTGGGGATTTTTACAACTGAAGTTAAACTGAAGATCAGTTGGCCCTTTAATGGCTAAGAAGACTGCTACCTTTTATACTTACAAAACTCAATGGATTGTAATGTACAATGACCATCTTCATGTATTATTCAATTCAATTCAAATTTCTTTCTATAGCGCCAATTCACAACAAAAATTACTTTTCATATAGACTGTACTATTTGTAAAATAATTATAATATTATGTTTCTGTTTATTTCTTTTCATGCAAAGCTTTTTGGATCAACTGTGTTGTGTTCAAGAAATAAACAAAAAATAAAGTTGGCTTTGAAAAGATAATGCTGCCATCTAGTGACAGAAGCTGTGTAGCTACTTCTGGTAAATTGGAAACAGAATCACTTGTCAAAGTGCCACAGCACACACAGGCAGTAACACCATCTTCCCTCAGAGCAGATCAATTTACACATCTAAAAACTTACCAAAAGATAAGACTTCTGAAATCTGGGCCGAGTTGCATTTTGGCGAAGAGTGATGTTTGCTCTCCATTACAGTTTAACTTGTATGTCTATTCAAGGCCGAGCAGCGGAAGCACAGGTCAGAACGTGATAAGAGCGGAAGAAGTCTGTTATGTTAGAATGGAGTGACCCAGTCTCACAGCTGCACCCTCATTCAGACCAATCTGTAGACTTTACCCTATCCACAAATACAAAATGTGCAATTTGCAGAGAACATTTGGTATAACTTTGCAAGGTGATCATCCGTATTAGACACGTGCGGTCTACAGCCATGAGCCAACACTACTACCACTGCTACTTCTTGTAATACTAGTACAGCTATTATTACTATTTGTACTACCAGCCCACTACTACTGCATTGTTTAATTATGCTACTCTGACATGACTTGGTAAGGCACATTGTGTCAGTCTATGCATGAAATACAATACCATCTTGCAATGCCTACTACTTCTACTACCAATACTACTACTACTAGTACTACTAATAATAATAATAATACTACATATAATACAGCATCAGGGGAAATGCTGATGGATGCTGATTATTATGAACAGTATCATAATTGTCATGGTGTTGTAGTTGTAATAGGTATAATTCCAATTTGTGTATTTGTATTGATTGATTATACTGATTCATTGACCCATTGAGGACTAGGCCTGCACACTGTGTGTATGCACTGAATTGCCAGAGGGAGACATGTAAACTCCATGGAGATGTAAACCTACTTGAGTCTAGTGTTCTAAGGAGACTTCATCCAGAAAGTAACAACAATGAATATATAAAACATAAACAAGTCAATACAAATAAAGGAAAATAAAATTGACATCCTACACTGAAAGACATGACAGGGTCTTGCGTTGGGGCTCGTCTGGGAACTGTGATTCAGTTGGATGTCGTGCAGGGGTGTGTTGTGGTCTGCTTCTGGGAACTGGATTTGGGAAAGAGGGTTATCTGCAGCTGATAAGGGCCATATTTAAAAGGCTGGGTTAGGATGAGACTACTTTACTTCACACCGCCAACTGAGGCAGAAGCAACACAGAACTTACACAGGATTTGTCGAATCATGCTACTGCTCATGTTCACTGCCAATATGTTTTTTGCTGTTGGAGTTGTTTCCATGCCCGTATCGGACCATGGGCCCCACATTGCCCACGGCTGGGGCCAGGTGGTCCGGCTCAGGCACCTGTACGCCGCCAGACCGGGACTGCACCTACTGATTAGTGGAGATGGACAGATCTATGGCTCTGCGGACCAGACTCTACACAGTAAGTCAAGCATTTAACAAGACAGGCTTAACGAGCTGCAAACTGTGGTGCTTGTCGGTAAATCACATTGATGACTTGGAGGGATTTTTCATTCTGATGAACATTTGAACTGCAGGCCTGCTGGAGATCCGTCCAGTGGATCCAGGCTGTGTTGTCATCAAAGGAGTAGCAACAGCACGGTTTCTCTGCATGGAAGGCGATGGAAAACTGTACTCATCGGTAAGGGTTTCATATGACAAGGTGACAACATATGTTGTTTAACATGAGAACAAATTTAATGAATTATTATTTAGCGAAAAGTAATTTATACATTTATTATTATTATATATTATTATTACATTTAAAAGTCCTGTGTCAGGGCATTGCTAAAATGACAAGTGAAGTGAAAGAGAATTTTGTCTAATTACCACTGCAGAATGATTAATAATTAGGCAGGATATTAATCAAATTGGTAACATTTAATAGATAAGTGTATAATCCTAATACAAAATGTTATTTTATAGTCAAATTTGAATTTGAGTGTGACATCTGTGCTGCAAACTGCAAAAAAAACCAACACATTTAACTAAAAACATATGTAAATACAAAGGCCCAACTTTCAAGTCGAAAAATATAATTTCTTATTTCAGAGATAACCCCACAGGTTATAGGTGTGTTGTATGCATTACGTTTACTTAAGTACTGTAATTTACTTGAGTATTTTCTTTGATGTCACTTTCTACTTCCCTTTCTGCGTCTCAGAGTGAAATCGTGTACTTTTTACTTCACTACATTTATCTGACAGCTTTAGTCACTAGGTACTTTACAAATTAAGATTTTTACACTTAATAAAATATGATTTGTTATAAATTACAGTAGCCAACATTTCATCCAAGTACAGCTGACACGATTATTATATTGCCACTGACTTTGATCATTTAGGAAATTTTCATGTAAAAACATTTCATTGTTCCACCCTCACTAACATGAAGATGCTGCTTTTCCTTTTAATTATTTGAATTTATTTGTAATCATTTTGAGCTTTGTACTGTTGGTTGGACAACGCAAGCATTGTGAAGGGGTCTGGGTAACTGTGACGGCATTTCTCACTATTTTCAGCATTTCAAAATACTTTATGTATACTTTAAGTATATTTTTGTGATTATACATACTTTTACTTACATTTACTAACATTTTCAATGCAGGACTTTTACTTGTAACAGAGTATTTTTTAATTAAGTAAAGGATCTGTATACTTCATCCACCACTGAGACGCACACACACACACACACACACACACACACACACATACACACAATCATAACCACACTAATGCGACTTTCTACTTTTGATGCTTAAATATTTTTAAAAGCAGGTACTTTTTTTACTTTGCCTCAAGTAGAAATTTAAATTGAAGATTACAGTACTTACTGTAGTACTGTACTATACTCAAGTACAGGATTGATACAGGACCAATATGAAACAAATTATAAGAAATACAGTAAAATGTAAAGAGTTCAGATTTATGTCAACACGTTTTTAAAATGTTTTTTATTTCACAGTCTCACTATTCACTGTTACACTTATTTCAGTATGGCACTTTTCATGACAGAGTTGTCAGCGCTCCCCACCTCCTCACCTTTCAGCCAATAACATTTCCCCAGCCTCTCAGCTGCAGCAACTGAGCAGTTGCTGCAGCTGAGAGGTTGCTTCTGTTAGCCAGAGCAACCAAAGAATGAGTGATATACTCCAGGACATCACGCACTTTTTTTAATCACAGCACCGTATACTTCATTCTGAATAACCCAGCTACTGCTGTTAACACTAGCATTTTGCTTTGAAAGTAAGAAAATCAAACCACGCCACCATGCAAAATATTCTGGATGGTTAGACAACATCTCTAGCCTTGTTGAGCCAAATAAAGGGGTTAGGTTGTTCCTGCGTGTGTGCCTCTGACTGTATGGTCTGTGCACTGCAGTTATTTACCACAGCAGCTTACTTTAGCATTGTTGTTGCACTACAAGTAACAGGAGCTATGAGGGCCAAAGCGAAACAGCAACTGCATTCAATAGCACATTGACATATGTAATAAAGAAAATAACTACAAACCCACCCGTAGAACATAGCTTTCCTCAACAGTGTGTCATGTGATTCACTTGGTATGTCTAGATAAGGATGTTAGAGTTTTATAAAACAACCAAACCAACCTAATATTGATGTATTTTTGCATCTTTTCAAAACTTCGCTATATATATTAGCTGGATATAAAAAACAATGCTTCTCCAAAAAGAATATCTAGTACATTTTATTAAGAACCTTTACAAAGGATCTTCTAGAAGGCCTTCTGTAGGCACTGGTGACCTGAGGTCTCCTGCTGATGTTAATCAGCTTCCATGTTCAGAAAACACTGCAGCCAGTGAGGCATTCATTCAAACAGACGCCCGGTTCATCAACCTTTGTTCGGTGTGGTGCAGGTTAGCTTGTGTTTGCAAAGTGGAAAACCTGAATGAAAAGACCCAGCAGCAGCAACAACAACCTTGGCCTCTGGCTGGCTCTCTTTGGCTAAAGTAAACAGCTGTCGAAGAACTTGCAGCACCATTTGCGTATGTTTTCTTTTTTTGATAAAAGGGGCCTTTTATCTAAAACTACCATTCATGCAGTCCTAATGGAAGCTGCCATTGTAATTCTAGCTACTTTGAGCTACCTTCTAACCTGTATGGATACCAGTGAATAGAAACAGCTTCACTCATAGTTTCATATATTCATAATATAATAGTCCAGCAAAATGAAATATTGACTTTACAAGATGAAAAATGCAAAAATTAATATAGCAAAAATTCCAGCAACAACTAAGAGTTTGAAGTTTATTAAAAGACTGTGGCCAGATTAACCTGCCAGGGGCCTTGGGGCAAAGTTGCTGGGACCCTATTACGAGGAATAGCCAATCAGACACAAGGATGTACTTGACTTCTGCCCCATTGTTAAAGCAAGATAATATAAGCTCAACACTGGGTAAATACAGTGTGTTAAATAAAAAATACACATAAAATACAAATAAAATAAAAATAGAATAAGACAGTTATCTACATTATATACACATTTCATATACAGGTATATGTGATAATGGATAATTGCACAGAATAACTGCACCAACATATAATAATACAGTGAGCAAACTGACCTAGTAATGTCTGTCAGAGGTGCATTTTATTACTTTGTATTCCATTTGCAAGAGAAAGTATGTGTGATTAGGTTTTCGAAAAGGTTACATAATCTCACCTTTAATTCTTTAAAAACTATACCTTTTTCAGTGATATTATTCTGAAAAAACAGACGTGGTTTTATTATTTTATTTGTGCGTAGTATTTCAATAAACATACAAGTACATAAATCCTGTACTTGAGTTAAAGTACAGATTATGGGGCGGCTGTGGCTCAGGAGGGAGAGCGGGTTGGCCGTTAATCGGAAGGGCGGCAGTTCAATCCTGGCTCCCCCTGGTTGCGTGTCGAAGTGTCCTTGGGCAAGATACTGAACCCCAATTTGCCCCTGGTGGCTGTCTGCCAGTGTATGAATGTGTGTGAATGCTAGTTTCCGTTTGAGCACTTAGGCTCAGTGTATGAATGTGTGTGACTGGTGAATGCAGATGTAGTGTAAAAGCGCTTTGAGTGGTCGAAAAGACTAGAAAGGCGCTATACAAGTACGGAGCATTTACATGCTTGCTTAATATTACTCCACTAAAAGTAGAAGTCTCCAACTTAAATATCTACTTGAGCCAACGTACAAAAGTACTTGCTTTTAAAAATACTTAAGTATGATTAGTATGGTTATGACTGTCAGAAGTTGCTGACAAACAGAATTTAAAAATACAGGCAAACTTCTTCCTATTTATTAAACAATGACATTCATTAGAAACAGGCTGCCCTTTCAACAACAAAAGTTCCTTCAAAATTCTGAAAATAATGAGAAATGCCGTCACAGTTACCGACAGCCCAAAGTGACCCCATCACGATGCTTGCTTTGTCTAACCAACAGTACAAAGCTCAAGATTACTAAATATAAATTTAAATAAGGAAAAGCAGCAAATCTTCATATTAGTGAGGGTGGAATCACAAAATGTTTTTCTATGAAAATTTCCTAAACGATCAAAGTAGTTGCCTGTTCATTTCAGTGTCAATATAATAATCGTGTCAGCTGTACTTGAATCAACATTTTGGGTAGTTTAATGCACAACACAACATATTTTATTAAGTCTTCATTAGTCTTGTGTAAAATCTTAATGTGTAAAGTAACTAGTAACTAAAGCTGTCAATGTAGTCAAGTAAAAAGTACAACATCTCCCTCTGAGATGTGGTGGAGTAGAAGTAGAAAGTTCCATAATACTCATATTAAAGTACAAGTACCAGAAATTTGTACCTAAGTACAGTACTTGAGTAAATGTACTTTATTACCGTCCACTGCTGGAAATGGAAACAAAAAGAAAACAAAACCGGAGCAAGTGGAAAGTCTGCTGCTAGTAGTAGAGTACATCAGAGAAAACATGATGCTCTAGTACCACACTGGCTGAAAAGTCACAGCAAACTAAATCAATATATTCTTAAACAAAGTTACAATGAACATCATTGTCACTTGGTCTTTTTGGGCTCGGGTTGCGGTTTCTGGTCTTTGCTTGGTTGGTAATCCAGTCTTGACAAAGTCATCATTTCCTCACAGGGATCAGTTAAGTTTCATCTCATTTCAGAACACAATATTTGTGCCATGAACATTTTTTCATGTGAATGCCTCCCATCATTTCCAGCACACCTACAGCAGAGACGACTGCACCTTCAGAGAGCAGATCATGCCGGACGGGTACAACATCTACGTGTCTGACAGACACGAAGCCCTGCTCAGTCTGGGAAACCACCGGCAGAGACTGCAGGGTCGAGACCGAGATGTCCCGGCTCTTGCCCAGTTCCTCCCCAGGATCAGCACCCTGGAAAAGGCCTTGTCCCTTGGACTTGACGTCCCTCACCAGGTGGGACAGAGCATAGCCCAAACAGAAGAACCAGTGGACACGATGGACTCGTTCGGGAAGCTGTCTCAGATCATTCACAGTCCCAGCTTCCACAAGAGATGAGACATCAGCTCTGCGACACCTCTAAATGGATGTTGTCCTAGGTGTCCTGCTTTGTCTGGGGCCTGACCGGGCACTCCCCTCTGCATGTTGCAGAACTCGGGACTGACTGCATATCCAGCCAGCCTGCTCCCGCACTGGCTGCTGCTACATCCTGTCAGTCTGTCCAGTCAGACATGACCAAACAGAATATAAGAGCAGTGTCCTACCGAGTGGAGAATGACACCGAGACTGGCCCCTGATCATAATGTTCCATCCTGTCAGTTTCAGAGACACCTTTTACATTTACAGGACTGACAAACCACCCAGGGGGTGCTCAGTCTTCCTCCCCCCAAAAGGTCTCTGGCATACAGAGAGGGCTGTGTTTCACATTCTGGTTTGTTGGAATCAAGAGAAGGTGACATGACCAGTAACCAGCAGCAGATGAACAAAAAGCAGCACCTACAGAAACTGGAAAAAGGAAAAGAATCGCACACTAGTAGTCACTGATAGTAGGAGGTGCAGCGCCACATGAAGGAGCGCCAAATATGTCATCAGGAATTCTGCTTATTATCAATGTATGATTCCTCAGTGAACTGAGGAAGAGGGGAACGATCCTCGTCTCGCCTGTAGACCAGGATCAGGATGTTGGTCAAATTAACTGCGATAGGATAATAAGTAAAAACTTTTCAACACCTGACAAAAAGTGTTATCTTCTTGTAGTAGTACAGTTGTTGTATTTTTGTGGTTATTTAAATCTCGAGCACTTTGAATTTGAATACCTTTTATGTTTTACTGAATGCACCTATGCATGAAATGTATGTGTGGATGTTTCCCGCTAAACCAGCTGTTTGCACTGTTTAATTTCATATAAAATGTTGAAGATATGCATAATAAAGCATTCCAAGCAGGGTCCCTGTGTTATTAATGCTTGTCACATTAAGATGAAAATATCTTTATTTCAAATCACATGCATTTGGATTTGTAAAAATGTTATATATATAATTTTCAGCCTTTATTGCAGACGAGGGGAAACGTGGGAGAGAGAGAGATGCAACTAATGACCCCAGCTGGATACACCAGGGACGTTACAAGTCATGGTCTTAACCTTGATGCCACAGGGACACCTCAACTCATAAATGTCAGGCCTAAACAAATCCCCCCGCAGCATGAGGCAGAACTCTGTGTGTTCACCACTTTACTTGGTTAGGTACAATCAAATCAAGCAAATGGCAAATTCTGAACTGAAAGGTCCACTTTCTGAGGATTCAGAGCTTTCATCTCCATGTGCGGTAATTATTGTAACAATGGAAGTCTCCATGGGCGGCACACAAGAAGAAGGTCGCGGGCTCAAACCCCGGTTGCCCCGGCCTTTCTGTGAGGATTTTGCATGTTCTCTCCGTGTCTGCGTGGGTTCTCGCCAGGTGTTCCGGCTTCCTCCCACCGTCCAAAGACATGCAGGTTAGGTTAATTGGTGATCCTAAATTGTCCTTAGGTGTGAATGTGAGTGGTTGTTTGTCTATGTGTGGCCCCGCGATGGACTGCTCCAGCCCTCCAGCCCTCCAGCCCCCCCCCTTGAACCTGTACGCAGGATAAGCGGTTGATGATGGATGGAAAGAAGTCTCCATTTCAAATCCCCACTGGCGACACCTAGAGGCTGCAACACTAATTATACCCAAAATACAGACATGACTGACAGAAACAGAACAAATCAATGAAGATGTGGTTGAACAGATATAAAATAAATAATCGCATCTATTAATACCAGATTTTAAAGAACTTAAAGATAATAAATTAAGAATAATGTGGCCCTGTGTCCCAACCTGAGGGCCAGCACGTGTACAAACGTTCCATTTGTATTATTTTTGTTGTTATTTATAACTGATAAATTGATTGGTCTTGATTTGATTAATCTTGTGTCATATTTAAATTTTTTCTTGACTTTGTTGCAAACTGTTTTGCCAACATTGTTCAGTTGAAACATTCATGCCAATAAAGCACAGGACCTATAAAAGTATGTCTTTCAAGAGAGAATGAAATGTTTTATGTGCATCATTAAATCATTACCAGAATAACCTTTAGAATGTCCTCTACAGTCAATCAAAATGTCTATCAGTGATTGTTCCTTAAAGTTGGTCTGTCAAGGTTTATGTATTAAAGCAAATGACTACATGAGTAGATGCTCAGGTGAAAGCTGCTCTGCAGTCTGGTGGTGCGGCAGCAGAAACTTCTATCTTCCAGAAAACAGAAGGGTGAACAGGCTGCGGCTGGGTGGCTACTGTCCTTTAGTATCCTTTGGGCTCTTTTAAAGGACTACCTTAATCCACCTCTTTACCTGGGAATGTTCAGCTACTTATCCAACGACCTTAATGATCACAACATTCACACAGCGAGATGAACGGTTTAACACATTTTAAATTTATTCACAGAAACAGAGTCCAATAAAATAATTTCTTTACAATAAGAATCATTTTATAAAACACCACAGAACAGCAGATAAATAGTGTGATAGCCCTTAAAAATTGCACAATTTGGTATCAAAAATACTTGACAAAAGCTCGCGTGGTTTGTAAATCCTAAAGTGTGTAAGTCGCTAACTGTTCCCATGTAGCCATCCATCAAATCATCCCTTACACATGGCAATACACACAAATCATTAGTTTAAATAATTACATCTTTATTTATAAACCCGTTTCCCAGAGAACAGGTTCTTGTACAAAAATTCTCCGTTTAAAAATCTTTATAGAGATTACAAATTTAAAAGTTGCAGAGGTTTTACAGGTTAAAAGTCTACCAGCATGATGAAAATCTGTTGGAGTGTGCATGTGTGACAAAATTAAGTTCTGCCGCAGGAATCAAAAAAATAAAAATAAAAACCTAGACCGTGATGTAGTACGTCCCCAATATGTTCCTCTGTCATCAGCAGGTAGAAAGTTTCAACGTTTGTTCTGCTGTCCTGGCCTCTCCCGTTATTGTGTATGGTGTGGTTACTCACATTATTTTTTCGTTTCTGCATAGGACAAAGTGGGTCATAAACCAGCTAACCAGGTCTAACAGCACATTCTAGGCTACTGCATCGAGGTCCTCAGTCAAATTTCCTCTATTTTATACTCATCCAGGGCCTTGTACCACGAAGCAGAGAACCCTGATGACGGTTCACTTCTTACCGGGGTAGATCGCCATGGCAACTTACGCTGTCTTGGGAAATGACATCACCGTCTGAAGGAAATCCCACAGACTGTTTTATAAGCTGCTTTGTTTGCTGCGTTGATGTGGAGAAACTCCCAATGATTTGTGCTGCGCGTCACGTACAAAACGTTCAAGACAATTCAACTTGGGCAGGGCGGGCGTGTGCGTGAGGCGACCACTTCACCTCACTCTAACAGGGACACTTGCTACAGAGCACTGACTGTTCCTGCTGCTCCCTGATAAAAGAAAAATGGTTCTGCTTTTATTTTATTTTTCACAGAAAACAGATTTATATATGTTAACCTGTTGCTCAGAAGGTGCCTGTTATGATGTTCTGATCGTGGCTCTGGACTGGAAAAGGTAATGCCCTGGCAGTTGCAAATAGCTTTGGTTTTATATTCGATTACATTAATGTTTAAGTTGAGATTTACAAGAAATATTTTATTGCTACTGTGTAAAGGGAATATTGCTGGTAAAAAGCACCTTATTTGTTTGCAAACCACATGTTATTGTTATTTTGTGTATATAGCAGTACATTTAAATTAAAAGTGCACAACACACTACTTTAGAAATCATTATTCAAAATCATGCGATTAAAAATTTTAATCCTAGCCCAGCACTAATAGTGCCATCATCCTACAGAGACTGGTTGAAAGCCTGTAAGCTACGATTGTAGGTTTTCACAATAAGCCTATTTACGGCTTTTTGCTTAGTATTTTTTATTGCTCCCAAGTCCGTTTCACACAGCCTGTTGCAGCTGTTAAAATAATGGGTTTAATTTTTCTTATGTGAGGCTGAATATTATGGAGTATATAATTTAGTAGGCAAAAAATTGAAATTAAAGTTAATATGAACGTAGGCTATTTATTTTAGGTTAGTAGCCATCTTATATCACAGAGACTGGTCATGCAACAGCCCACCTTTTGCGATATGGGCGCAGGTAATGAGCTGAGTTTTCAGTAGTTTTATGGCATGATTGGATTTTTCGTTTCCATACGCGACATACACCCCCCCCCAAAAAAAAACCCACATCAAGTCAATGCATTAGTATGGACTACGCCGGTTCATTTAGGCATTAGAGTTTGCTCTTCGTTCATAAAATATGATGCTCTGCTGCCAGTGGACTTGTTCTTGCCCAACACCGCCTCTTTTATGTGAACACGCTCACGGCTGGTCTGGGAAACCCTGGGTTGACTTACCGAGTTGGTAACCAGCTTTGTCTAACAGCTTATCCAGCGATTGTTAGGGTTAGTTAAGCCAGATAACGAAAACATATCCTGGGTATGTTGAACTCGCTTTGTGGTACAGGCCCCTGGTGTCTGACAACTGTCACATGCATCGCATGATCTGCTACATTTGCATACAACAGCAAGACCACAGAAAGACAAGATAACCTTCTTAACACCGCTTGCAAAGGTTATTACATAACCACGCCTGTAAATCCTACGTCAGCGTTGTTAAAAATGTTCTTGTCCAAATCACAGTATGGTCCCACATGTGTCTAAGTAATTGGTTGAATTTTGATCGGCGGACTTCTGACGCAGCATATGACGTCTTTCATGTCCTCTCAGGTCGTGCTCACACCCGAGACCTGGAGAAATTTGAAGTTTAACCTCACCAAGAACTGATGTGGATTTGAGACCTGGTTCGGGTAGGGTTTTGGAGTGAAGACATCTACAGCTATGTCCTGTTTTCATAAACACCATCATCTTCTGACATCAGCTGTTGCAGCAGCTTGTGATTCCATGGAAGGTCCTGAATAGTTGCTGGTGAAGGATGACGGATATGCCTGGTAGACAACAAGCTGGAAATGCTCTTTTTTTTGTTCTTGAAAACCTGAGAAAAGGGGAGGTCCCCCCCCTTTTGTACTTGACCTCCTCTGGAGAAGGTTGATGAGGAGGTTGATGAGGAGTGGCTGTGATTAATGTCCAGAAATTGCCTTTGTTAAAAAACTGCGTTTTCCCGGAGATCAGACGGCAGCCCGGGTGTGGTCTGAGTGGTCTGGTGCTCTCAGCGGGTCTTTCTGTAGTAAACAAAAGATGCCACCAATACAACTGATGCTACTACAGCTACTGTCCTCCACCGAGAAAAAGTACAGATGACCCCCTGCTGCAAAGATCAAAAGGAAGACGATTAAGAGCTTTGGATCCATACATATGACCACAGAGCCTTAAACCAACATTAGAAATGAACATGGCAGATCTTTATGGACAATGAATTACTCACCCAGCCTCCCTGCTGTACGAGCCAGGTGTAGAGCTGCTCTCTGATGACCTGGAGAACCCAGCTGATGACTGTTCTGATGGTGTCTACATGGTTGGTGGTCAGTGCCTTTAACACAAAAACAAAAAGACCAGTCAGACATACTCGTTGGAGCCATTATACATGGGGACATGCCCCCAGCACGTTTCAGTCCCGCTCCACTTCCCTAATGTAAAAATGTACTTCACACTGCCTGCCTGCTTCAGGTGATTCCGGAGCTGCCTCAAAGCAGAGGCAGTTTCCTATGAGTGACGTAATTAAATGGTTGAAACACGGACAAAAATCATGCGACACAACACAAAGGTGGTGCTGAAAAGTTAAGGGGGGGTGGGGTCAGTCAAGGCAGCTGCGTAAAACTGGGTAGTCATTTGTCACAAATAATGCAAATTTGTAAAATAAAATAAAGAAGTTTGCTGCAACTTCTCGTTTCTTTACTCCAGTATTTTCTTTTGGCCAGTAATCTACTCTTAATTTCGCTACATGTTCATTCATACCTTCATTACTCAACCAGTATGCAATCTGCATTTTGCTTCATTAACCAAATGAGCCGTCAGCCAGGCTGTGCGCGCAGTTAAGCAGTAGGGCGCAGGGAGAATCAGGGCCAAGTGAGGCACAGAGAATGGAAATATTACAGACAGCTCACAAGTGTAACGTTACCATAACTGAATACATTTGTGCTGTGGCTAGCTATACTAACTAGCAGCAGTTTCATGGTTTTTAACGGTATGTAGTCGATTTTGCTGTGGTTATATTATACTCCTCTCTGATTGTGCACAGAGGTCTTCATAATCTCCCCTCCCCAGTCTATTCTCCATCTTCTGTCACTGCAAATACCCTCTTTCAACTGCACTAAGTACATTCTGTTTCCAAAAGTCATTAGAAGATTAGAGTTATAAATAGAGCAAAATTTGCATTCATAACAAACAAACGTGGACGAGAGTGACGTTTACTCGGAACTTGGTGATACTGAACAAGAGGAATCAGACCATGCAAGCAAAAACGAGGAGCTTATACCAAAGAGAGAAGTCTGTTGAACCACGCTACACTATTGCAGCAGCTCCAGGCATGATGTGTGTGTCAGCTAACGTTTAATGAGTTGCCCACAGACATTCAGTTTACTTTCCTCTTCACTAAAACATGCTGTTGCTGTGTGAGCTGTGAATATCACTGTGCTGCCCTGGGAGCGTCTCGTCCTCTCACGTTACCTTTGCAGCAGCAAGTAAGTTAGCCACAGTTTGCTGCTAACCCACAGCCTAGCTAACGTTAGTTACATTACTTGCCGTTTCATTGTTCACTCTATATCATGCCATTTGTCATGGTAACATTATTGGAATACTCCAGAATTACATAAGTTACCCCACCCTAGGCAGAGAAATATCATGAGTAACTGTTCGAAATGCCAACAGAAACTCATTCAAATTAGCTTTATTGGCATTAGGGGTTGGAATCACCAGAGGGCCCACAATATGATATTATCACGATACTTATGCTGTGTGTTCGATTTTATTGCGATGTTAAATATATTGAGATATATTGCAATTTATTACCCTTTTCCAACTTCAAATTAGGTCCCTAAAGTCAAACTTTGTCAACATCTGTTTATCTAAAAAGATCTGTTTGTTCGTATCACTTTTTCAGTCCACTATATGGTCCTGTGGAGTTTTCTAGTAGACTGAAAAAGCAATAGATATTATTTTAGTACCAAAAAGTTAAATTCTCATGTGCAATTTATATAACAAAAGATCGATACTTGGCATCCGTGTATCAATCACGATACTATGCTGTATCGATTTTTTCCCCACACCCCTAATTGGCATGAATGTATAGCAACAATATTGCCACAGCTACATATAAAGTACATGATATTTCACAGGATTCAATTTAATCCCTCTGCCTCTCTCGTTATGGTGAAATGAAATTACCTATATCAGGATATTAATTTCATATGTCATATCGCACAGCCCTAGTTAGAAATGAGTATGTAAATGAAAAAAACAAAACAAATAAAAAAACACAAACACAACACTTGTTAGGCTATGGAGTAGACAACCTTGACAAAAAAAGTGGCACAAGGTGTGATATTTCATTTGGGGTCCTCCCAAGAAAATTGCACTTTTTCCAGTGACACATGTGCAATTTCACATCATTTGGGACCATTATTTTTATCATAATCACTGAAGAAATAGTTGGAAAAGCTAGAGCAGAAAAGGACTAAACTTGCTAAAGAATTTGACTGGCGAGGGACTATAACCAATCGATTGTTTACTTTTAGCGTCCAGATCCAGATTTTACAGATCCAGTCTGGATCTGTGGTTGCGAGTCACCTGCTGCCCCCCATGTATCTCCCTCCCTTCCTCCCTCTTGTGTCTCAATTTACAGCTTTTGACATTTATCTGTAGAAATTAATATGAAAAGTAGGCAACATGAGAACCCTTTATTACCAAGGATTTCATTTGCTCAATAAAATCCAAGAGTCTCCTCATTAGCTTAAAAGGAACTAGTTTGCATGACTTGCTTTACTAACCTCAGCTCCTCCACGGTCACCACTGTCCTTTCTTTTCCTAACAACCAGTCAGAAAACTGAACAATAGTTAACTATTAGGATGTACAGCCTGCGTACAGGACAGAGCTGTAGGCTACACCAGGTTTAGTCTAAGTTTGTAATGTTGTCAATACTAGACAAAGTAGGCAGTAATGTAATGCAGCAGCTAGTTACTTCCTATAAATCGAACTAATGTTAAGTTACATAGCAGATGGTGGCTAGGCTACTGTCAGCTTCTCCTTTCTAAATGGAAGGGGGGACGTTGGCTAGCGCTAACTGGCTTCACTTTCCTAGCAGTTGGGGAAACAGACATACTTTCTTGGTCTTGAGAAGCTGACACGCTGTAACCGACACAGAATATTTCCCCCCCACTTGCATTCACCGTCACTTTCCGCCACTCAGACAAACACTCGCTATGCACATCCCGATTCTCTACAGGAGTTACGCTGCTCTTATAACAGCCCTGTCATGTTGATTTCTTTGAGGAATGAGGAGTGGAAGTTAGGCAAGCGTTGAGTGTTACCGTGGTCAACATTAGTGGCGTATTGATCAATGATCATGGGAAAATTTTGTAGCGGCGGTCATAATTCCGGAGAATGAATATAGGGGAACTCCCAATAGGGGTGACTCCCAAGTGCTGATGTGAGGTGGGGGAGCACTGCAGCATATTTTTCGCAAGGAGCAAATGGTTAGAAGACCATGCAGCGCAGATCAGCAGTCGCAGCCCTGTGGAGAGGCACTGCTGTGTGAGTTTGTGGGTGTTACCCTGTATATCAGCCTGTAGGCCAGATGGAAGAGAGCCACCACTCGACCCCAGTTGATGCCATCAGCGAAGATGTTCCTGGCCACCTTCATGAAGATGTCCTGAGCACAGTTGCCTTGAACCTGGTTGATCAGTCTGGCAGGAAGAAATGAACAGATTCAAATGTATCAGAGTTCTTTGAAATGTGTGTTGCATCATAAGTAGTGCTCAGGTACACCGGTTTTAATACATACCATGTTGAAATATACTGATGATGTCAGTATATTTCAGTATCATTGCCGTCATTTTGAGATGTGAATGTGAACACAGCACAGCCCTGCAACCTTAGCACTTTGATTTTAAATTGGTGTTTTGCATGTTTGTTAGTTCTGTTGCAGAGTCCAACAGAGGTGCAATCCAAGGCAAACATGGTGTGGGCTCATTTTACTATATTTCTAGAAAGATCTCAGGAACGCCATTTCCATTCCATCTCAACACTACCAGCACTCATTAATATTACACTTTTTATTAATTCCTGCTATTTATCATAACATTTCTGTTAATGCTGTATAATACTGCTTTGTTGTTATTTATCTATTTATCATTACACTTCTGTTATTACTGAAATATCCACATTTATTAAATTCTTAGATTTTTATACTTTCTGCTATCATTTCTATTCTTTTATCCCCTGACATGCAAGCAAGTATTTGTAAGGAAGAGTCTCCCCTCGGAGACCAATAAAGTATTCTGATTCTGTTATATTACAGTTTACCATGATATTTTCAGCCACAATAACTGTAGCATGCACCTTTAGGTGATGTAGAAATGTATCTTGTCTGTCATGATGGACATAGCCACTGCCTTATTTTGGTTCAGTGGGTGTCTGAACAAGATGGAGGTCTTTTTAAAAATCAGTCAAATGTAATTCTGTCAGTAACAGTGAGGCTGCTCGAAAAAGTCCATTAAGACTCTTCAGCTGATCCAGAATGCTGCAGCACGTGTTCTGACAGGAAAAGAGATCACATTTCTCCTGTTTTAGCGTCTTTTCCAGTAAAATCCAGAATAGAATTTAAAATCATTCTTCTTACCTACAAAGCTCTTAACTATCTTAATGGTCAGGCACCATCTTATCTTAAAGAGCTCATAGTACCTTACTATGATGTAAATGCTCCGTACTTGTATAGCGCCTTTCTAGTCTTTTCGACCACTCAAAGCGCTTTTACACTACATCTGCATTCACCAGTCACACACATTCATACACTGAGCCTAAGTGCTCAAACGGAAACTAACATCCACACTCATACACTGGCGGAATAGCCACCAGGGGCAAATCGGGGTTCAGTATCTTGCCCAAGGACACTTCGACACGCAACCAGGGGGAGCCAGGGATTGAACCGCCGACCTTCCGATTAACGGCCAACCCGCTCTACCTCCTGAGCCACAGCCGCCCCCCACCAGAGCACTGTGCTCCCAGAATGCAGGGTTACTTGTGGTTCCTAGAGTCTCCAAAAGTAGACTAGGAGCCAGAGCGTTCAGCTATCAAGCTCCTCTCCTGTGGAACCAGGTTCCAGTTTGGGTTCAGGAGGCAGACACCATCTCCACATTTAAGAGTAGGCTTAAGACTTTCCCCTTTGATAAAGCTTATAGTTAGGGCTGGCTCAGGTGAGTCCTGAACCATCCCTTAGTTATGCTGCTATAGGCCTAGACTGCCGGGGGATTTCCCATGATGCACTGAGCTCCTCTCTCCTCTACTTTCTCTCCCTCTGTATGCAACCTCATCCCATTATTGCATGTTACTAACTCGACTTCTCCCCTTTCCGGTAGTCTTGTGCTTTCTCGTCCCTCTCCTCTCTCCTCCTATCACTTCCTGCAGGTTTTCTGGCTCTGGAGCTGTGGAGTCTGGATCTGTGGTTGCGGGTCACCTGCTGCCCCCGTGTTCCTGCTCGACACCCTCTGCTTCAATTATTGTTACTAGTTCTATTATTATTGTTATTATAATCATTAACATTACGACTGTTACCATTAACACTACTATAAATATCAGTACCATTTTTCATTCAGTCTATAGCAACATCACCTTTACTGTCTGTAACTCTGTGTGTATATTGTGTAGGCTGCCCCCCTCCCCCCCATCCCTTTATTCATCCTTCCCCCTACCATCCCCCCAGGATTGCTTCCCCTCCCCCCCCTCCAAGCTCTGACTGCTGGTGACCAATGAAATCCTGGACAGGTAAGCGCAAGAGTATTAACTAATAACCAATGAATCTGGTGACTGGTGTGGTTCACCAGTTGTTTTTGTACATGATGCACAGCTTACCGCTGGAACTCGGCATTCCTATTTAAGTCATCTGCAATCTTGAGCAGCTGTTCCACCACTTCTTTGATTTGTGGATCCTGGAGTTCATTTGGCCTTCCGCCCAGCTCCTCAGAGGAGACGTGTCGACCGGGCTCCTCCGTGTTTATACGTTCAATCACATATCTAGGAGAGAAGAAAAAAAAAACAAAAAAAAACTGCTTGACCAAAGGAAATAGCACCTATTATTGTTATTTTGTTCATTCATCACACAAACATTAGAGTAACCATACTTTTGAATAAAACTGCTGTGTGGTCAGTCAGATGTGTGTGTCAGGCAGGGAGACCAGTGCTTTCAGGAGGAAATGTAATATCGGCTGCATTAGGCAATACTTTGGATATTTATTGAGAGCCCAGCTACAATAAAAAACATGGATAACCAGGGAGTCGTATAAATTTCAGTAGCCAGCTGAGGGATTTTTTCAACAACAACAAAAAATAGCCCTACTTCAACAAACAAAACATTAATCATAAAGTGTGAACAGGTAGGGGAAATAACTGTAAATGAATCATGAAATTACAAATTAAGAACAACAACTGTCTACTCCCTTCACTGTCACTGAGACACATGTGGCTGTATGCAGTAAGATATTTGATGTTTTAATAGTTAAGATCAGTCTATTGTAGGGCTGTAATAAACAATAATTATAAAGTTTTCCTCAATCCCATCTATGTTTGCTGAAAACTACAGTGCCCAGCTGTCTGAAGTGCAGGCAGTACGCTATGGTAGAGATGCTTCCCTTTTATGTAGTTGGACAAAATAATAGTTACTACTATCTCCGCTGTAGCAAACTATACTCAACAAAATCTAAACTATGAGAGCTGAGGATTTGTTTCTTCACAAAGCTCGTGGTGGACTGCTGTCCTGACCTTATTTCCTCTTCTTGATAGACATCTTGTCAAAACGTCACATCTCGACCTGACCTCAAGAAGGTCATACATGCTTTTATATCATCTCAGTTAATTATTGCAATTCACTGTTAACATTTGATTTAATAACTCTGTTTTTAAAAAGCGCTGTAGAAATACAAGTTATTATGATGAGACTAACCCTCTAAGGACCACCGCTCCTTGTTCCAGGATGGGATCATCGATGACATCTGGAGCAATGAGAAGACTGATTATTCAAAACATTGACTGCTGTTTGCTGAAATGTACAGAAAATGTCACAAAAGGAGGTGTTAGCCAGCGCCAAAGGAAAACCACTGGCACCAAAATGATATCATTCCCTCTAATATTGCAAATATCGCAATATCAGTCACAATAAAGGCGGTTATGTTCTCAGCAAGCAGGTAATTTTTGGTTTTCAACGTGTGACTTCACTTTCCCAACAATGTCAGGCGATTCCGTTATTGTGCCATCATCAGTCCCACCTTACCAGGGATAGAGATGTCATTGTTGTTAAAAAAAAAGGTGACATAGCTTGCTGTGGTGACTAGTCTCATGTGCAGACCTGCACCCTGACACAGTCCTCAAACCTGCCTGTTTTGTTACCTTGCCTATCACCAGCCAGGGCTCTGCCAGTGTAATACTGGCCCTTTATCATGCTCACTAACACTGGCCCCAGCAAGTTAAGCCAGCAGCACTGGACCAGCTCTAAAAGACAACATTTTTCTGATATTTGAGCCTTTTCAGGACAGACTGAGATATTAGGTTAACGTTACCCACACGGAAAAAAAGGTACATTTGACCTGGTAATTTACAGCCAACTTAACGCTCTAAACCAAAAGTGATTCTTAACGGCAGACACAGCAACACAATAGCTAAACGTTCATATGTGGAACATCGTAACGTAGACCTGTCGTCACTCCTCAGCGACAGAGTGATAATATCCCATCAGACTGGGTTTCTCTGCTCCCTTTAGCCCCTCCGTGGCCGGGGTTAGGGCCTCGGTTAGGTTATAGTTAGTCGGAGCAGAGAAAACTGGTTGGGGTAGGATTAAGCGCCGAAACACGCTGGGCTTAGGTTCGGGTTCAGGTAAGAGGAACAGTTTCTACGGGGTATGTTCACTTAACAGGCAGTGTCTTCATTCTTAAGAAAATGTGACCGTTTCTGGAACCTAAAGTTTGATTGTAAGTTAACATTCACGGAAAGTGAACGATGGTCTGTCTGCCCTAGTTCAACAGGCCTCTTAGCTGGTGTTTGAACCTGCCATGGCTTCAGTAAGTTCTTACCTTCCCCACCCACGGCGCCCTGAGGCTCCTGGTCTCCTTCTCGTTTCTCCTCTTCTCGGCTGTCAGCCATAGTTTCAAACTTCCTGTCAGCTCGGACCGATGAATACGGACTTAGATGTCTGGCTCCCACATTTAGCGCTAGCCCGGCCGAATACAGTCACTAGTAAGTTACAAATTACTTTGTTCCGTGAAAAAGTTTCCGCAGTCTTCCGCAGAAGAACAAGGAAGTGACACGGAAGCGCGCAACTACTCATAAATAGCCAACGGCTGGCACGCCCCTTGCCCCGAATTGAATCCTAGTTAGCAGAAGGGGTGATGAGACACCCATGCAAAAGTATGAACGGGGGAAATTGGAGCATTAAAAACTTAATTTCCTGCATCTGGAGACACTCTCTGCTCCAATTTATGGTGGAAATGTCTTTAAATACAGAGAAACAAAAAATTAACCAGGCAGGTGACAATTCATAAATATAAAAATATAATGCAGTAATCAGCAGCTCGCTTTTTAAATATTTAGTTACTTTTTTGGACAATGCACATTAGTTTCTTCTATATTGAAAATGCATTACATGTCTTATTGTGCAATTGTTAGTTAATATGTCTTGGTGCAAACTATTTTTCAGAACATTTTAACAAATGCTTTCAAAAAGTGATGTGGGCAAAATCAGACATTTCAAAAAGTGGTGGGGACATGTCCCCAGCATCCCCAGTGAAATGACACCTATGATTCCTTGTGATCCCCCAATAAGAACATCCGATGGGAAACGGACTATAATACCTTTGCTTAAATAAAACTGGTGTTTAATAATCCATTTAAATGCAGTTATTATTCACTGATAGAGGTGGAGGCAGTTCACAACAGGACTTTTAAAGTCTTTGCCTCTTTTATGAAGCACTAGTGAAGGCATGTGTGATGAGTTGCCAAATCTTGTTTTTGTCTGTGTTAATTGTTTCAATTGTGTTGTGCTGTTTTATTAAATATGATATATAGGTCTCCTGCGTGATCTCTTGATTTCTTTACAGGAGTTGCTATAAATTAATGTAGGCCTACACAGCACATTCAGCTTGTCAGTATGTTAAATGGCTAGGTCTGTCTCCATTCTCATGACAAAAGTAAACAGCATTATGAGTCTGGATGAGTAGTAACTACAGTATATATATGCTTAATGAAATAATAAGTATTTATAACATTTATAAAAATTTATGACCCATATTTCACGAAACATGGACTGATTGCATTGTGAGCAAAAATACACACTTATTTGAAAAGACTGCAGATGAAAGTAAGGTGAGAATAGGAATTACATTAAATAAGAGATTTTTTATTTACTTTAATGAAAATTTACCATTAACGTTAAGCCTCTTCAAAGGTCTTTTATCGCAGTGAAGTTAGTTTTAAGTTGGATATTCGAAATTCACCCAGGATCCAGTACCGCTGGTAGCCCTGGTTCAGACCCTTCAAGATGTTCGACTTTCTTTGAAACTCCATTCAAACTTTAATACATTCATAATCCTTTAGACCTTTTCAGGTTAACCCTTTAACGTCCTCTCAACCATTTGGAAGAGCACATTTTGAGTCACTATATCTTATTGAAAAATATATTTAACTTAATTCAACCTGTTTAAGCCATCTCTACCATTCGGTTTAGGTATGCTGTGATAAAAAAAAAATCCACTATATGTCACTGTTTCTTTAAGCAGCATGCCTTTTCAAATACCCTCCTCACAAGAAGATAAAATCGTCAAAATCACTGCAGACATGAAGACTCTTTTTGGTGGAATTTTCAAAAGTAAGCATATTTTTTCGATATATTATTGTTCCAGAGGAATTACTTAACAGAATTATGTAACTTGATGCAACAAAAATAAGTCTAACATGGGTCAAATCATTTTCTAAAAACATGCTCTACCAAACAGTAGAGTTGACACTTGGTAAAGGTTACATGGTACAATACAAATTTACTAGCTATTGTAATATAAATTGACTATTTGCTATGAAATTGAAAACTTCTGAACATTCATTATTGTTAACAGGATACATTTAATGTTTTTCCATTATATATAACCTGAGTTAATTTCATTATATATATTTATCATGGTGAAAACATGCTATACCAAAATAATGCTAAGAAAATGCATTTTTAAGTATTACCATGAAGAGCCATCTTGACCGTTTGATAGAGCAGTATAGATGTTTTCATCGGACGCGTTGCCATGGTGAGTCAACTTCCGTTCTGTTTTTTTATCACTGGGTTTGTGTTTACTGGCTAATATGGTGACTGATATCCAGTACAGTGTTTCCCATACATTCAATTATGAATGTGATGGTCTACCACATTATCAGCGCTGACTGCCACATGTTGATTTCCATTCTGTTTTACTATTTAAGATGGGAAAACTTTTATTTGATTGCAGAGCTGCATGCAACTCATATTTGCTCAGCACATCCTCTCACTCGCTCCCTCTCTCTCTCTCCCGCAAACACATTGACAGTGGACCAGCTTGTGTATTGAATAGTTAGTATCATGAACACCACTGCACAAATCCGTCCACTGTCAATGTCAGAGATAAACTGTTCTAACTCACTAATCTTCAACCTCTTCCCACTAATACAAACATTCATGTAGAAACTCCATTCAAACTTTAACATACTCATAATCCTTTGGACCTTTTCAGGTTAATTCAACTTTTTCACATTAGTCATACTTTTTACACAATCGCAAGTCAAGTTTCATGTCATTTTCAGCTTGTTTTCTGTCTTTATAATGAGTATGTATGGGAGGGAATGTTCGCAGCTAGAGTGGGAGGACCAACTGACAGAGTGGGTGTTCAATTTTATCTTGAAGTTGCTTTATTTCCCAGAGCTTTCAATCTATACTTTTTTCACAAGTTGTAGGGAATCTTGTTTTGCTGCTGAAAGGTAACTTTGAAAGCAAACAGACTTACACAGCTGGCACCGTCAGCTTGAAAGTGACAGAAGTCCCAGCCAACTGCCGCATAGACTCTCATAGGGAAAAGAGTCCTGCAGTTTCAGGAGAGAGGCAGACAGCTGGACATTGCTGCTGTGGACACATTTTTGACACTACACACAAATCTTACACATCATCTTCATGAGGATCTTGTCTCTCTTACAGTATGTTTGCTTTGGAGATAAGCGTTACAGTCTGTTCGGTAGGATGGTGTGTCTGGCCATTGAGTCATCTTTACCATCAACATGGCACCCTTAGAATGCAGACACACAGCTGATTGAGATGATGTCATTAGTGCGGTTTGACTGACATGCGCGCACACACACAGGACTCAGAATTCTTCACATATTTCCAAGCCATTTTCAATTCTTATCTTTTTATTCATACTTTTAGTTGTGAACTACATTCAGACCTTAAAATATTTCACACTGTTCATGAAATGTGAGAGTCCTTTCAACTTTTAATCGCCATTCATACTTAACTGGCAACCAGGGATAGGCCACATTTCTTAAAAATAAAAGCACCAGACAGATGCCAGACAGTAACTGCACCTTAACAGGCCACACAGGATGAGGCTATTTCTTTCAAAATAAAGGCCCTGTAGAGCTAATACAGGCCTTTCTCATTTCCCAAATTTCTGCCTCCTTGGCCCTCAAGCGTGTGACCCTGAAATCGATGTCAGCGCGCCATCTTGAAGGATATGTCAATTCTTAAAATGCACATCGAGGAGGCAGACATTTGGGAAATGAGAAAGACCCATTATCTTAACTTTTTTTTTTTTTTCAGTAAACATGGCCCTTCCCATTGAATTTGTATTAAAATGTGACTGTCAGGGACCAAGCAGTAAGGGCAGGGACACAAGGTCTCATAAAGTTTAGGCTTTATTTAGCCAGGTGCACGCAATGCGCGTCAATATATTTACGTAATCGATTATGTTGAAAAATCACCCCAGCCCTATTTCAAACCATATTACACACAAAAAAAAGGCATCAACAGAATTACTCAAACTGGCACTTAACTAAACAGCAGTCAACATAACAATACTACAACATAAGTCTGAACATAACAAGCCTGACCTACTGAATTACTCAAAAGGAGGGGTATATATACACATAGGCTAGCCTACACCAAACACAAAGGGGAGAAGTCTTAACTTACTACAATTAAAAAGACCCAAAAATAAACCCAACAACCAACCATAAGAAAATACTAAACAAACAAACATTACTAAAACCCAATATTAATCTAACAAACAAAATATACACATGCTGCTGTGTTGTTAAGGATTTTATAGTTCAGAGTCCCTCTGCCCACTGCCAGGAGTTGGTTCCTTCCACTTCCTGTGGTGGAGTATAAAAAGTAGTCCCAAACTCCAGCTCTCCCTTTGGCAGATGACTTAGCAGCAGCAGCATGCAGAGAAACAAAGGACAGGTATAAATCACTAAACAATTCTTCTCAAATGAATACTAATATTAACCAAAATTCAGCATAATTTGTGAAAAGAATAAATGTATCTAAAGAAAATGTGTTTGTGGGTCACTTGTAGAAAAACTAAACCATTACCGCCACTTTAGGTGTTGGCGGTTAATAAGACCGTCACAGTGACTATAAAATCAGTATTGTATTAGTTAAACAGCTTGTCAGTGCTGGAATAAGGAATTCCTCTCTGAATTCAGGTTACCATGTGCAGTGGTTTTTGATGCTGTGCCAGGGAGTGTGCTGCAACTTCTTAAAGCTTCAGCTATTGCGGTCTCAAGGATCCAATCAATTAATAGTAGTATGTTCCTTGGAGAAAATGACATTACTAAAGATAAATGTTCAAATAAATACATCAGGAACTGCATACAAGATATAGCTGTCTCCAGGCAGACTCCTCTGAACTTCACTTTATGGAGAAATTAATTGTAAAAGGTTTCCTTTAAGATATTACATCGTAGATATCTGGTTAAAGACGTTTGAGAGATTTTAGAATAAATATTGAGTATTCTTGCACTTTCTGTCAATTACATGAAGAATCAATTTGTCATTTGTCAAACAGAAATAATTGAAGAAAACAAGAAAACCAGTCATGTGGAAGAGTTAATAGTGACCAATGTGAAAGAGGGTAAAACGGTTAATGGTTAAAATAACTAAAAACTTGTTTAGTAACACAAACAATTGATCCCTGAAGAAGGGAGGGTTGCCGTTTAGTTGTCAGTAGTTGTCATGCCTACAGACGTCAGAAGGGGGAGCTCTTGGCTGCGGCACCTCATTGTCAGTCAAGTTGATT